AAAAAGCTAAAAACAAAGGAATGGTCAATATTGTTCCAGGCAAAGGGAAACAATAAGGAAACAGATAAAATCTAGTTATCAGGAAGGACAAAAAACAAAGCACAAGGTTAACATCCACAACTTTGAATGTACAAGTAACAGTAAGGAGTATCAAAACACCAAACAACATTCATGAAACAAACACACTGATAAAAAGAGTATTAAGAAAGATCAGAGAGTACGATGTCGGAATGTAGAGATGCAACGACAACAATCAGGAAGACATGTATTATGACCCATATACAATTTTCGAATATTAAAACGTTAATACAAAATACACTTACGACTCTAGGGTACAAAAAACATTAAAAAAAAACCTGATACAGGTAACATGCTCAGGAAACAATGCACTAAAACTAGAACTTACTCGGGAAGAACAAACTTCTTCCATCAGGACCTCAAAACCAAACAACTGTCTAGTAAACTGCTCTTTGTTGAAAAAGGAAACACAAAGCTGAATTTCTAAACCAAAAAAACTACTGAAAATATTACTTATGAGTCTATGTGGGATACACGTACTGATCAGAGATTTCATAGCATTAAATGTCTTGCATCAGTGAAAAAGAATGAAAAAGAAGCAAATCCGTGACTCAAAAAAAAACTAGAAAAAGGCAACAATACTGTAAAAGAAAGAAGTTAAAGCAAAAAGAGGGAAATAATGAAGGTAAAAACAGAGAAATACAAAACTAAACTTAAAATAATACAGATAAGGGAGCTCAAGTGGTTAAGTTGTTTTGATACTTGATGATGTCACGGTTTGGTCTGAGTTCAAGCCCTCTGCGCTCTAGCCCCTTCCCTGCTCATGAGTGCGCATACACTCTTCTCTCTCTCTCTCTCTCTCAAAATAAATAAGTTAAAATAATAATAATACAGGGGCGCCTGGGTGGCGCCGTCGGTTAAGTGTCTGACATCAGTTCAAGTCACGATGTCACGGTTTGTGAGTTTGAGCCCCGCACCTGGCTCTGTGCTGACAGCTCAGCTTCAGATTCTGAGTCTCCCTCTCTCTCTCTGCCCCTCCCCAACTTGTGCTCTGTCTCTCCCTCTCAAAATTAAATAAATGTAAAAAAAAATTTTTTAAAGGAAATAAATAATATAGATAAAAGTTTTTCTTCATCTTTAAGCTCCAGTAGATTTACTAAAGGATGCCTTAGAGTGAGTCATTCCAGG